CCCAAGGCAGGCTACGATGGAAGCAGAATCTCCAGCTATTTCACGGACATCCACGAGGCAGCCGACCCAACGTCAGCTCGAGCAACAGCCCACACTTCCTAGTCGCGCAAGCACAGGAGGTATTTTGAGACAAGCTACTATTGAGCGAGAATCACCAGCTATTTCGCGGATCTCGACGCGTCAGCCTACCTCAACGGAACTACCGGAACTTGAGAGACAGCCTACGCTTTCCAGCCGCGTTAGCACGCAAGCGCCTACGAGGCAGCCTACAAGACGCTTGACTGAGGTTGGAGATATTACTGTGCCAATCTCGCGGCAGCCGACTACGAAGAGAAGTGAGATGGATGAGGATTCTGTCTTTGAGAGGCATGCTACGAGGCAGCCCACGCGCAGGCCTACGGAACGAGAGCTTGAAGTCGACCCATCAGAGCCTTCGGAGTTTGTTCCACCAGTTATGAGGATGCGTCAACGTACCACTGTTTACGAACCGCAGCCGGAAGAGTTTGCTCCCGAGCCCGACCTGGAGCGCCAGCCCACACGGCAACCGACGCGAAGACCAACGGAAAGAGAACCGGAGGCGGACATTGTCCAGCGTGATGTCTCAAGGCAGAGTACTCTTCGAGAAGCTGAGCCTGTCCTTGAGAGGCAACTAACTCGCCGATCTACGATGGTGAGTAGGAAGGCGACGAAAGTCCCAACCGAGAGGGTTGAAGAGTCTGAGACTGTGCAGGCTACGACACCGGAGTCGCCAGCTTCTTCTGAGCCTGCCGAGTTCGAGCCTCAAGTCATGAGGATGCGCCAGTCTACTACCACCTACGATCCGCAGCAGGAAGAGCTGGTATTCGATCGGCAACCTACTCGACAGCCTACGACTGTGAGCAGGAAATCGAGCAGAGTCCCCACTGAGAGAGTTGAACAGCCCGAGGAGTTTGAGCGGCAACCCACTCATAGAGTGACATTACCGCCAGAAGTAGATCTCACAACAAGCCTACCGAGCTCAACCTCCGAAGAGGACGAGATTCTGGGTATGCCAATCCAAAGGGACGAGGTCCCGACACGCATCTCTCGAGAGCCAACGCGCGTAGAAAGACACCCGACGCTTCCTCCAGAGGAAACTGCGCCCGAAAGTTCTACCTTTCATGAGCCCGTGATCAGGCGAGCGACGACACGGCGACCTACAGAGTCGGTAGCTGAGCGAGAGCCGAGTCCACCTCCAGAACAAGTCGAAGAGCGGTCTGAGCCCCTTGAGTTTGAGGAGCCAGTCATCCGGCGAGCTACTACTCGACGTCCTACTAGGCGTGAACGTGAGCCATCGGTCGTGCAAGAAGCCTCACCATCTGCATCACGTGCTCCTACTCGTCAGCCTACGCGGGTCGAGCGTGTGTTGACGCAGGCCGAAGAGCAGCCAGCCGCGTCTGAACAGTCCACCTCATCGCGCACCTCCACTACTGTGTCTGAACCACCTCCGGTCCCAAGCCGTCGCACTACTACAAGACATCCAACCGACCTCGAACGGAGAGTCATCAATGTGGAACGGCAGCCTACTCAGCTAGCCGAGGATGCCATGGAAAACACTCCGCTAGAGCCTTTACGCTGGGCAACTACAAGGGGGGAAAGACAAGAGTCTACGCTACGTCCGGATAATGAGCTGCTACCATCTGAGAGCTCTTCGCTGTATTCTCAGCCTAGTGTCGTCGAGTCCGTCATCCGCCGGCAGACAACTATCGAGGTTGAACCGGAGCTAGAAGTTCCTCGTCGAGCGACTACAATTCGAACAACAACTGGTCTCACTGGCCTGACAACTTCGTCTAGCGAGCCTCAGGAATATGCCTCAATGGACCAGATGCGGGAGCGGACGGCTTCTCGCCGCGGTACAGAATTCGCACCAGAGCCGGAAGTTCCTCGCCGCGCAACTACGACACGAACGGCCACTGGTTTGACTGGTCTAACCACCTCTTCCAGCGAGCCCCAAGAATTTGCCTCCATGGACCAGATGCAGGAGCGTACGGCTTCACGTAGGACTACGCTTGAAAGAGCGCCAACTTCAACTGGGGAGTTCGCGCCACCAGTGATGCGCGCTGCGATGGTTCCATCAAGACAAGCAACTCAGCTTGAAGACCTTGAGACGATGGAGGATCTTCCTACCATGGAGTCCGAGGATGAGGCGACGCCGCTGGACACACCCGAGCTTCCTCTTGCAAGGCGGGATACGAGCCCAAGAGTTGATCGAGACATCTCGGAAGTACTTGGAGAAGCCCCTTTTCGGCGCGTTTCCAGAGTACCTACCGAGCGCCCTGATGCTGAAGTCACGGAGCCTTCTTCAAGACGGTCGAGCAGAACTGATGGTTTGTCTCGCGTGTCGACTGATGCCGCCAAGAACGAGCCTATCTTTCACGATGTTGAGTCTCAGCTAGAGGAAACCCCGATCCCTGAGCTGGACAGACAAGCTTCTGCTGTTTCTCGCAGGCCTACCACGGTTTCTCGAAAAGCGACCGAAATGTCTCGGCAGCCAACCATTGCTTCTCGCAGGCCTACTGTGCGCGACGGGACTCCTTCTCCGGAAAAGGAGCTAGAAGACCCTCGAGTTTTAGGGATCTCTAGGGAACCCACTCGCATTTCGAGGCAATCGACAGCTCGAGAACGAACTCCTTCGCCAGAATCACCAGCTGAATTTGAACCACCTGTCATGAGGATGGCCAGAGAGCCTTCGCGCGTCTCACGGCAACCGACTGAGCAGGAAAAGACCGCCTCCCTTGAAGCACCTCTTGATGAGGTACGGCGAGTTTCGAGACAGTCGACTGCACGCGAAAGGTCTCCATCACCTGTGTCGCGATCAGCTACAAGACAGCCGATCCGCATCTCCCGCCAGCCCACAGCAGTAAGGTCTCTTTTGCCTCTTGTACCTTCTAGACAGTCGACGACCTTGTCACGCCAGCCAACTATGCGTGACCAAAGTCCCCCTCCATTCATGCCAGTGACGAGGATGGCACAAGAGGACGCGGAGCTGGAGGCAGAAGTTATGCCTGAATCGGAATTAGAAGAAGCTGCCCCTATCGAAGAGGCTGCAGCGAACACGCGTCCTCCAAGCAGAAAGCCTTCAATGCAGGTCTCGAGGAAGCCAACCAGAGTACCTACGCGGGATCAGCGTCTTGATGAGCGAACGCTTCGTCCGGAATTCCCCGAGGATGTCGAGCCGAGCTCACCGATCATACGAAAGCATTCAACTGCGCGGGATATGTCGAGGCAACCAAGTCGAACTCCCACCACAGGGGAAGATTTTGTCCTTCCAGATGAGCCCGAGCAACAAGACGATTCACCAAGAAAGCCTACCGAGACTTTTGGTCGACAAGCTACCTTGCCAGCTGAGAAAGCGCCAACTGAGGAGCCCCTCACAGATCTAGCGCCGTCGCGGAGGCCGAGCGAATCGGAGAGGAGATCCACACGCGTCCCCACCGAACGAGTACCTGAGGGCGATGAGGACCTCTATTCAATGCCTCGGCGAGCGACTACTCGACTTTCTCGTCAGTCCACGCGCGCTCCCACGATGTCACCCCAAGGTTTAGTTCAGAGAAATGCCGAGAATGAGTCTCAGAACGAGCCGGAGGCGCAACTTGTCGAACGCCCTCCTTCGGAGTCCCCGCAGTCTTCAGTGCTAGACGAGCCGCTTGCCGCTCTGGATGTCTACAACGCGACGCCTGCTCCTGAGGTCGCGCCGGAAGAGGAGATGCCGCGGGGTCCAAGTCGCACGCCGACACGAAGGGAATCTATCCGTGATCGACGAACTTCGACAGCAGATACTCTTCCACCTGAAGACAAGATGGTGAGGATTCAAGAAGAGCCAACTGCAGCCTATAGCCCCATTTCCACTCCACCATCATCGAGGCAACCTAGCTTTACCGCACCAGAGCGTCAGCCGACTGCTCCCACAGACGTTGCTCCCGAGGCCCCTTTGGCCGTCGAAGCGCTCCAACGAAATGCCGAACGACGACCAACGCTCCCTGCGGAAGAGATCCCAGAACAGGAACCAGGCCGGCTTGATAGGCCTCCGACTGCTGACCTCTCGCGCGAGCCGGAATCGCTGGCACCTCCAATAGATATGGAAGATTCCCATGATGAAACTCCAGTTGAACCTAACAAGAAGAGGAAAGCTAAAGGGCCTCTTGACGAGACTCGCAAACGTCGCCAACTGCAGGAAGTCGACGATCGAGTACCTCAGATTCTGACGGTGCCCGCGGAGAGACAAAGAAAACCGAGCACAGCGGCTCCCGGCATCGTTGCGCCTCCTCTGCAGGACGTTCCGCCGGGAATGCAGCCCACAGCTCCTCTAGCAAAACCTCGAAAAGACGCAACTCGGCGTTCAGATCAGCAATATCCTCCAGACCAACAGAAGCCCCCAGCCCCAGCATATCCGACTCGTGACACTCCAGCATGGGTCAAGCCTGATGTCTATACACCTCCTCCAAATCCGAAGCCCGAGACCGTCCCCAAATCGAAGGAGAGGAGAGGCATCTTTGGCAGGCGAGAGAAGCCGAAGGAGGAATCTCAACCAGTTTCCCATGTTCAGCGAGAGCCGTCGCCTGAGCCCGATTTTCACGAGCCAGAACCTGAAGTCCAACAACATGAGCCTTATCATGACCGGGACCGACTCTGGCCCTTTCGAACCGCGGCACCAGGACCGGTACCAGGACCTCCTGGGGGAACGCTACAAAGGCCAAGAGGTTATCGAACCACACCCGGACATGAGCCCGTTTATGCTCCCTACCCTCGCGGTCGAGTACCCGCTCCCGCCCCCGCCCCACCACGACCACGAGATGACTATTACCCCCGAGCTGCCCCAGCCTTTGCTCACAAGGACGACTACTATCCTCGCCTCCCACCTCCAGTCCCCGAGCGAACAGACAGTTATCCGCCTCGAGCAGGCCCCGTACGAAGAGATATTTATTCCCAGCCTCAACCAGCTCCAGTACGGAGAGTCGTCCTCTCCCACCCTCTCCCGCCCCCTCCCCCTCCCCCAGTTCGACGAGATGTCTACTCTCCGCCTCGCCCAGAACCAGCCCGACGTGGGTATATCCCAAGTAACTGGGGTCAGTCGAGAGCCAGGCAGAATCACGCCCCTCGCTACGAAACTGATCCGCGACCCATTCGTGGCCAAGCGCAGGAGTTCGCTCGCAATCAACCTCAAGAGCAGCAAGGCATTCGTCACGAAGAGGAAGCCTCTCCTAGGCGGCAACCGTCTCTACCTCTTCGTAGGCCGCAGACTGACGAAGAACCCATTCGCCCGCCAGCAGTACCGCAAGAGAAGACAGAGTCAAAGCCTCTCAGAAGAGACGTCCGCAGCAGCTCGCAAACGGAGGTTCCTCCGGTCCAAGAAGAGGGCAGAAGGGGACCAAGCACCAGGCAAGCCTCAGAACCGAGGATGGAAGCTCTTCCAGTCCAGCAAAGCGAAGGCATCAGGCGGCAGTCAACAGAGGGAGAGCGCGGACAAGACGAAAAACGCAGACCGTCGGCTACTCTCGAGACTCCTACTCAAAGCCCGCCGGAACAAGAGCCAGAATCAAGAAGGCGGTCGTCAGCGCGAGGCGGCCAGTCACGCAGCAAAGAGCAGAAAGCAGAGGAGAGCCCGCAAGAAGATTTTGGGGATGCGTATCCCGAACCTCGGCCGCAAGACGGAGGCGACGCCCGCCGCCACAGTCTCGACGGCGGTAGTCCCGAGGGAAGCAGACCTTCTCTCGACCTCTCGCGAGAAGCTGCCGCTCCCACCGGTAGAACCGATCGTCCGCACACGAGTTCCAGAGCCACCCCAGATTCCGCTCGAAGAGACTCTACCGAGGATCCAGCCCGACGACGATCCTCAGTTCAGAGATCGCCAGAGGCGGCGCCCGTCACGCGAATTACCATCTCACGAACGGGAACGCGAAGAGATTCAACGCGAGAAGCAAGGAATCCCTCGCGAGCGTCAACCCCTCGAGATACAGCAAGGAGAGCGTCTAGCCCGGGAGAGGGTTCCCGTAGAGCACCACCGGGTTCCACAGCAGCGAGTCGAAGACCATCAACTACGCTCGAGAGAAGCGGAACAAGACGCAGATCATCTGCCCAGGGATCAGACGCGAGGCCCGCGACCCCCTCGCGAGCGCCAACCCGCCGAGATACCACAAGGCGAGAGTCTGCAGCGGGAGAGGATAATCCAAGAGCACGAGCGGACTCTACCACAGCCTCGAGAAAGCCGTCAGCTACACTTGACCGAGCAAGAACAAAACACGTCTCGTCAGGCCAGGGATCAGACACGGGACCTGGGACTCCATCGCGAACGGCAACAGCTCCAGGAAGAGCGCCCACACTCCGCTCGAGAACGCCAACGGCTCCAGCGAGAACGCCGACGGTCGCTTCCCAGCTCAGAGATGCAGAGCGACGGACGTCAGCGACAAAGGACTCGTCAGACGCGCGAACCAGAGACGAGGGAGTCGGACCGCGAGAGGGAGAGGCTCCCTCGCGACCGGGAACAGGGTTACGAGAGAGACAAGCTCCATCGCGAGCGGCAACTGGACTACGAGACGGACAGACTCCCTCGCGAACGGGAACCGCGCGAAAGGCAGAAGATCCAAGCACAACAACAGCCCCAGGGTCCCGACCGCAACAGAGACAGGCTTCTTCCCCAACGCCAGCGTCAACGCCAGGGCAGCACGTCGTCTCGAGAAAAGCGTCAGAACCAGACAATAGCGACCGGCGTCGCCGCTCCACAGCCCCAGCGCCCGGTTCAGCTCAACCTGCAATACCAGCCTCAGAACCAAACTCCGTCCCGCATCCCCAAACCGCAACGGACGCCTCCTCGCGCAAGCCCTCCACATCCCGCCGCCCCTCCACAGCTCCTCGCGCTCTCGCTAGCCAAGACTCGTTCTTCCCCTCTTCAGACACGCCGTCGCCTTCTCCAGCAGGGCAACAACGAGGAAGGTGGAATTGGGGACGTGGAGACCGGCCAGCCGGAACGCCGGTCACGGAGCAGAGAGCGCAACCGCCAGTTACACCGGCTGCAAAGGGAACCACAGCAGCAGCGGGAGTGGGAGATAGAAGGCAGGGAAGTCCAGGGAAGGATCAGGGGAGACAAAGAAGTTCCCCGAAAAACAAGGGGCGAGAGGGAAGTCCAGGGAAGGACGCAGGAAAGGGAATTGTTGGAAGGGTCGGAGCGAAGGTTGCTCAGGGGCCATTGACTGGAGGCTTAGGCTTGAAGGGACGGTGGGGATGGGGGTGGGGAAAGGGTTGAGACATGGCTGATTGGGGAGGCGTGATTACTGTGATGATCGATGATGGTTGTTGTGCGTGGTGGATGCGATGGGATGCTGATGGACTTGCTTGTGCACTCCATTCTTTTCTCTATCCCTAGGACCTATGATCTTTGCTGTTGGTAGCGAAATGATGCACTCCATATCTTTCCACACTTATCTCTCTTCGGAGTATGTGATCGTGAAGTGCTCCCACGAGGGAAGACTATCAGAGTATGCGCGAGCGCAATAAACCCATTTCATATCCCGCAACACCACGTTTCTTTCCCAGCCGTCCTCCCGAGTTATCCTTGATATGGGTTGTGCTACATCGGATCCCCATGCCTACCTCCGCCCTTCCGGGTTCAAGGTCGGATATGCATTTGTAGCGCGAGCTAGACTGAACGGTACACGAGCAAGCTTGCGCTTAGAATTGCAAGGGAATGATTTCTCATTTGCAGAACACATACATACATTCCCCATTACAAGCATCTCTTTCTATTCCCAGCCTCCCCACCGATGAGATCCTGCCGTGCAAATGGTATACGACCCCTCCTCATCCTCCTCTCTCTATCTCCAATATCTCATATACAAGCCCATTCAGTCGTGACGCAAAGCGGACCGGCGTACAATCCATTCAATCAATAGCTTTCTTGTCCCTTCCTACAACACCAGACATCGCATCGAACGTTCCACCACAGCTAAAAATAACCCTGAGCCTATCTTATCGTATTCCTTCTTTTCCTGGTCGGTGCGGTGGGAGTCTCGTGTTGCTAATCTAGCTATATAGCCAAGCAAGCTGCACTTTACCATGCTGGCTAATAACATAGCTATTCGGGGATAAGCGAGCAACGGCCCGGACGTACGCTGGGTTCACGAGGTACTTACAATAGCTGGGTAGTGTGAGTATATACGTACGTGTAGGTAGGGCTGCTGCTCCCACCGTTCCTAGCTCGAATTCGATCCGTTTCTGCATCTGAAGCCGACCGACCGAACTCACACCCACCTAACTCACTACGATGCACCTCTCCACCTTCCTCCTCGCCCTCCTCTCCTCGCTCTTCTATGCACACTCGGCACTCGCCCGCAAAGACGGCTACCTCTTCGCCGACTACGCCGCAGTCCAGCAGATGCGCGAAACGCGCAGCCTCATCGCACGATCGCAATCCGCAAACGACACAAGCGGCCAGAACTACTTTGTAGAATTCAAGCACAACTACGTCCGTTTACCCCCCTTCTCCCCTCCCTCTCCCTTCCCACCTCTCCCCCACCTCCCTCTATCC